CAGGAACGCTGCAAACGATATTTCTTACTTTAAGGATTTATTTGATAACACTGCATTGAAATATAGATTGAGAAGTAGATTGGGTGATGTATTTTGAACTATATGGCATCATAAATCTAAAGGGATAATCCGAAAATGCAAATTATTTTCGTTAAGCACTCTAGTTCAGGTCTAGGGTCTATAACAGTCAGCATTTCTTATCTGTTTGCTTGTTCTGCTCTGAATAGAATAGGATGACTAATTTTGGTACCACGTAAACACTGGCTACATAGAACAGATGCAACCCTCACAGTCAATCTTACCATTATCTTATCACCTTCCCACCAAAAATGCTGGTAAACATAACTATGGCTTCGTTCCAACAAAGCCGTGTACGGTACAGTGAACCATCATGAGCGTGCGCAGTACGGTTTTAGGGTCACTTAAAACGTACTGCGCACGCTCATGACTTTAAAAACGGCAACAAACAAGTCGTGATTAGTATCACCTCATGATATTGGTTTATATTTTGTTACATAAAAGCGACTATTGCATGACTTTTATACATTCAGTTAGTCTATCGCATAATATACCCAAGGAGTCTTCTATAAAACAAAAATATTCCCTAAGTTTGCAAAACACGATTTTTGTATTTATTTGTCAATTTCGTCTTTGGCGGAGACACTTTCGAGAGACTGCTATTAATCGACTGTAAAATAGGCCAGAGATATCGAAAAATATATTACGTCTTTGAAACGTATTATAAAATCATGATCTTTACATGTCTTTTCTTATATCAAAATAACTTGTTCATCGTCATATGTTTTCGAGCATTTAACATCCATTAAAAGTTGACGAATGCGAATTTGGAAGGTAAGACGTATAGTGTAACATACAGCTTTGAGTATTTGAATAAGCAACTATGTTTCGACGTCTGTGAAAAGCTCATCTAATTCTTTGCTGTTAAGAATACAACAATTTGTATGAACAAAGTCAAGGCACAAATAGATGGAGAATAGATTTCTGTAGATATGTTAGCAGTTGTAATATGCACATTCATCCAAGAAATTTTGGATCTTAGTAGTGGAAAGTGTACCACATAAGATTTCTATAAAAAGTATTTGTACCCTTATTCCAAAAGTGTTGTATAACCTGGCGAATTTGCTTCCGTAAAAAGAATATGTATGTATAAAGATTACACAACAGAAAAGCAATATAGTTTCCTCCTCAGATGTAGTTCCCAAAGATGTGAGCATGCTATCACCGCGATAGGTTCGGTATGTCAATGATAAGAACCTGTGGTGGGTGCGTGCTTGCCTCAGACATTGACATGACGCATTTTTTTTTGGTGTCATGTGACGGTCTTAACCAGTTCTACAAGAAACAAAGATAAAATCCAACATTCTTCCAAAAGGTTTGAATGTTGGTCGCAAAATGTATCTAATATTAACGTGTTCATAATTCCTATACAGTATGAAGTCGGGACCACAAATGAAACGTTATACACAGGTCTCGTTTTAATTAGGTCTCCTATGTAACATTTTTCCCTCCAGAGCTTCATTAAAAAGATACGGGGTGTTGAAGTTTAAAAATAACAAACATTTATTTTTAATATCTTCAAAACCGTCAACTGGAATGAACTCAAATTTGGTATGCGGATTTACCTAAGTATTGTCTACATTTAAAAGTCTTCACTCAAAGTTAATGTGCACCAGTGGCGCAGATACAGGGGACTAGTTTCATTATTTTTCCAAATAAAAATAGTTGGCCACTGTTTTTTTTTTCAGATCGCTCATTTACTACAAATAATTACTCTTCTCTTTTTTCCTAGGGTGCTTGTTTTCGCAAAAATACAAAAAACAAATTAGGTATTCTAAGCTTTAATTCAATAAATGTTCAAAAAGACCACCATTCTGACGGATGCAAGTGCGGCATCCTTTTAGTAAAAAAAAAAACATATTTCCGCCAAATTTGTTATGAATTGAATTTGATGAAACGTATTATCTATTATTTCTTGTGACCGATCAACAGCACCACCAACAACAAACATGACGCCACTTATCCCCTGTATATCCGCCACTGGTGCACGTTAATTTTGAGCAAAAACTTTTAAATGTGGATAATACCTAGGTGAATGCACATACCAAATTTTAGTTCATTCCGGTTGACGGTTTTGAAGATTTTAAAAGAAACTTGTTTTTTATTTTAAAACTGCATCGCTCCGTAGCTTTTTAATGAAGCCATCTAGGAAAAAATGGAACATAGAAGACTCTCCTTAAAATGCGGTTCTGTCTATGATGTTTCGTTGTTGGTCACGACTTGTGCATGACCCCGTTTATATCCGCCGAGCTAAGCACAGTGAGGGTAACTGAACGTTGTGGACTTCGTGTGTAGTTTCTTCCCTCTCCATCTTCGTTTCCTCAGGTTACACCTGCATCCGTATGTGTGGGCATGTGTAGCTATCTTTGTACTTTTATATGTGCATTCATTTCGGGCCTGATGAAGCCAACCAGCAGAAATACGTATCACTCGGGTTACCCATAATATTTTCTGCTCGAATCCACTTTCCTCCTTTTTGCGGATTTTGCCCATTATTTGCACTTTTTGTTATATATATATATATATATATATATATATAGTTTATCACAGTTACTTTAATTGGTTTGGCGAAAAACTTTAAAGTTTGTGTGTCATTAACTTATGTGTATTAAAGTTCGAACCAGTTTGGATCTAGCCACCTCTGGTATATGGCCGCAATACATACGATTAAATGACACACAATCTTCAAGTCTTTGATTAAAGTAATGAAAATAAGTTTAAGAGACCTTTACATATTTGGAATAGGACAAAAAATACAACTTTATTCGATGGCGTTTTTTGAGTCACCCGGTATATGAAAAAGAACATTACATGAAAAACTTTATATAACACTCTAAATTTTTATATAAAACTTTTTCTTCAAGAATCCCATGCGAAGACGTATAATACAGTTCTTTTTATTTTCTGTGAAAAACAACCTTGGACATACTGTTCCATATTTTGGACAGTCTAGCCAGGTTTACGTAATTCGGTATAGTATCGGCAACAGAAGCTGCTGTCGCAGGCCGTCCATTGTTTAGAAGAACAACTGAGATGATTCGTATGATACAAAGAAAATATGGAAGTTTACATCAGAAACTTTATCGTTAACTAAATGTGAGGTCACGCATTTAAGATCAGACGTTAGCTGCAGCGTGCAAAGGCACTTTTTGTATCAAAAAGCCATTACCGCTGTTCGTTCATCAATCTTAGAATCTCATGTGGCTATGTGAAAATTCATTCGTAAGCATCATCAAGAGCAATTTTGTGATTTTATTGCATTAACATGCGCAGCTGGAAAGTATAAACCGATTTTATTTCACCTCTTTTGTTAAGACATGACTTTCTGCCAAATAACCTTGTAAAAGTCAAAAATAATAATTTCTCCATTTAAGCTCAGGCAAGCATTAGTCTAGTTGTCTAGTCTACCGACTTTCACTTCTAATACGCCTTCAATTTGCGAAAGTATGAAATTTACCTAGTCAGTTAACTGGTATTGTACTTATTTTCAAACGTTTGAGAATATGCAAAGGGTTCCTGATCTAATTTCCATTGTAGAAGGGTAAAAGAGGGAATTTTTAATGTCTTAAGACAGTACTGACTCACGGAACATCATAACTTTCGAAACTTGTGTTAGGGGACGCTATGCCATACTTATATTGATTGTTTGCCCAGAGAAAATTGGAATGTTAGAATCAAAGAGAAGGTTTCCCAAAGTAGCGGTTGCTTTAAGCAAAAAATGCACTTTTAGAAAACCACAGCACTGCAGCGCGAATGTCATAGGATAATTATTTACAGTGGTCCATACCATTAACAGTTACTGATTATTCCGTTCGTGGATTTCTACGTAACCTTATGCATCAATAATTACTGACGTCCTGGTTACGGAGCCAATAAATATGACATTTCAGGTCAAATACTGACGGATCAGATTAAATACTGATCGTATGATATTTGACTTATTTATTTTTAATATTCCGAAGCAGCTGTGACGGCAGAATTTTGTATACGAGCTGCTGCTATGAGGATCTTAAAGAAACTTTGTTAATCCGATTTTTGATCTGCCTAAGGCTAGTAGAACTGAGACAAGCCTCATCAGGTAGAACGGTTCAAAATATCGATACCTTGGGGTAAAAGGAGCGGCTGTATCGGCCAGTTCTGGATTTACAAAGTTCGACACGGTTGGGATGGGAGGCCGAAATTAGGCAGGTCTGTCTGCTAGGCATATCACGCAGCGGCATCATGGAGGAGAGCTCCGAGGAGCAAAGCCCGTTGGCATAGCGGTAGAAGCGAGCTAGATCGTCGACAGCCCATCGCCGTCGGTTTGAAATGGTCCCGAGACTATCTGTCAGGACATTAGTCTTTAAAACTTGGAAAAATACATATTTCCGTAGCTCTGACCGCGCCGCCACGTCTGACCGGGATAAGGCCACGTCGGCAGATCCACTACCGGTAGGGCAGGGAAAGAATGTCTATGGACTAATTATATGTACCCTTTTGACTGACTTTTTTCTTACAGGGTCTAGTTGCGTAAGAATTTTTGCAGATGCTCAACATGGAACAAATTTTGACAATACAGTATTTTGCGAAATTTATTACATACACTAGTTACAGTTTCATAACTGGCTATTAACCTACTTAAAACTGATCTTGGCAGAATTTTATTTCTTTTGCTTTTTTATTCACAAACACTAACATGTGTCGAGCGTAGATATCGTAATTTGCCAACACTGGACTAATGTTTCAAATGAAATAATTTTATTAACAAATATTGTGTAAACAGGTGAATTGTCCTCACGGCGATATCATTATTTAGCCCCACCAATTATTGCCCAAGCTGACTTATTGTCTGTAGAGTACCAGAATCATCATCAAGATGATAATTACAGGCGGTAAATATAGTCACGCGTACAGCCGCAAATACTTCATTTATAGAATAGCACTTATAAACTACTATACTAATTATTAGATTTGATGACTAGTAACTCCAACATTAGCGCACATTAACAGCAAGATTAATCTAATTGACATTTAAATGACTTGTCGATACTGACAATTAAAAGGAGCTATAATGTGTGAAAAATCATTAGTTTGAAGAAGTATACAATGAATGGTGATCCACTGCTTCCGGCTCTGAAATTGTGCACCCATTCGGGTGAGGGTTGCATCTATTGTGAAGTTTTTTATTCATCCAGTGAACTTGCGAAGGTGTTGGAGTAAAGCTGTGTGACTAGTTGTTGAAAATGCATTTTCCATGACGCTGTTTGTCGATAATTCGACTCAGGCGGTATTTCTAGATGTTGGCCAAGCAAAATAAAGGGGACCTCCCGGCGCTGATATACAACGAAGGAAAGATTGTAAGCAACTCCAAGGTCGAAATCCCTGTCAAGCTTTTCGGTCAGCACCACCATGGATATGAAAACCCACGCACACTGGAGTCCGGTATGTGGAGCCTAAGTAACTGAAGTGTGAGCTGAACCTTTATTCCATTGAAACCTCAGGCTTGAATACCTTTTAAGCACTATTACTTAATTCTGATCATCACTAATAGAAGCTGAATGTTAAATCTCACATACGGTTTGTTCGTACAGTAGTTGGTAACTTCTCGGTGACTGTCAAAATCAGAATCAGAGAGATGTTACCTGTTTGACCGCTCTGACAGGCAATGACGAATAGAAAATGTTTCCTGTTCGTACTGTTTCTGAGACAGAGACATTGATAGGTGTCAGAATGTGTCGAAACTATGTTCAGGTCCAATATTGCGTCGCAAACGGCATTTACTGATCGATGACTCTTCTCTAACGGACAGGCTGGGGACACTTTCGCAGGGGTGGGCCGTCGGCGATCTAGCTCTCTTCTACTGCTAAAATTTGCTCCTCAGAGCTCTCCTCGATGATGCCGCCGGGCAATGTCCCTGCTAGATGGAGCCGCCTGACTGATAGTGTGTCGAGATTGTGAGGGAGATGCGGAGGCTTCTCCCAGTTCTATTAACCTTAGGAAGTTTAAACATCAGATTATCGAAGTTACTTTAAGCTCCTCATAGCAGCCTCGCTGCCCTGGCGTTTAGGCTTTACCTGCGCGGGTGCTTCGGAGTATAAAAAACGAGCAATAAACCAAGCAGCGAATGAAACCCAAAAACCTGAATATTGTGGAGGAATTAGTGCCGCAATTTCAACAGCGAGTTTTTGTAACATTTTAGAGTAAGCAATACAGTCGCAGAAAAAGTTTCAGTAGTAACCATTTTAAATATCAGGCAGCGCCATATGGAAAGCTAACTCCGTATAAAGAAACCTGTACATGTTTATGGTTTGTTGGATATCAAACAGCCATCTTCAGGGATGTAGTTGTTAGGTTCAAGGTTTTTGTGAGTACCCTGCTAGCAGTTATATCCAGATTGACCAACTTTTTGAGTAGGCTAGCACCAGAAATCATAAAATGGTCAACAGAAGAAGAAATATATAGGGCAAAGCGATATTTCCACCATAAAATATAGATTTCCTGGAATCGTTGCATCATTGACGGAGGCCATATAAAGATTGTTGCGCTGTGAAGTTAATTATACATATATTTGACTATTAGTTGTCCCCACTTTAAGTTTTTTATATGACTATAAGGTCTAATATAGAATTATTTGTTTTCAATACCCGTTTTAAAATATATGTATCCATATTTGATGCAATCTCAAATCAGTTTAAGCTATCAAAGTGATTGGTGCTTATTATTTTGTTTATTGGCCGTGTAATAGCAGAAATACAATCCCTAGATTAGAACATTAGAGGAGAAAACTTTCAAGATCCACAATTATTAATACTATTTTTCAGTGAACACTAATTTTTACAAAAAGTTTTGGTTACAGTTACAAAATGCGGAAATACAGGATTAGTTTCTTCCTGCCTGTTGCTAGTTGTCGTGATGATCAACTTTGCCATCTTAGATATTTATATTTATCCATATTTCTGCTTGTTGTAGAGGGTAAAAACGCGACTTAACTTATGCTTTTTCTCTTATGAATTCAACGACAATATTCACGAATTCTGTGTTTTTTCCCGGTTTGGCAGCGCTGCAGATAACTCCTAGGGCAATTGATATCCCAGAGGTGTTATAATAATATTAAAAACAACAGAAAAATATAACAAGTTTTGCAAATATTTTCCTAAATTTAATTCTGACTTACAATATCTAGACGATGAATAATAGGTGGATGCGGATACATTTACAAATATCGATGTTTTAGGACCCAGGAATGCAGAATGTGCGGTTAGTTTACATTTGGCGTGAATTTATAGATAATACATTTTCAATAAATTGCTTTTGATATGACAAAATATAATGAACCAGTTGGAATACTTTTTATATCCTTTTTTGCATATAAAAAAAATCGGTATATTTCTACAGGTACGTAGTATGTACAAAACTGTATGCGATTTAAAGACAAAAATAGATTGAATTGCATGGCCATTCATCAAAAACAGTGAAAACATCCTATTAAATCTAATGGCTAGAAGTGAGACATTGGTCCATTCAAATAAGTTTCGTATCTTTTATGAAATGGTAGAAATGGGCACTTCTATGAAAGTTATCCTAATTTTGAACCTCAAAGACATAATATTACATCTATAATGTACCCTTATTTATAAAGCAGCCGCTTTTTCACGATTTTATTCAATATTTCAATAGAAATTACTGATATTTAGAGATCTTTGAGTGACTCCGTCAAGTTGCATTACGATATGCTCCCTTATTGGTGAAAGCCTCCGTCAAATTTAAGTATTAGTGAATTTTTTCAAATTTAGATTTTGCAGCGGATGCGAAGTGAGCTTTGAGTCAATATTTTTAACTCGTTTATTTGTTTGAGAGCGAACAGGTATATTTAAAAACGAGCATAATGTACAAAAAAGTCAATTTACTGCTTGCAACTTACACAAATTAGAAAACACACTAAGGGCCGATTTCACCAACATTAATACTATGGACCAACGGGAAAATACCTTATCGAAATGCAATTTGACAGAAGCTGTCAAGGGTCTCCGAATATCAGTGATTTATATTAAAATATTGAATAAAATCGTGAAAATTCGACTGTATTATAAACAAGACCACTTCTTGATTCCAAAATGATGCTTTTGTACAGAGAAGACAGGTCAACTTTCATGTATTTTGATCTGTGTTATAAATTTATCAGTTATCCCCAAAAGCCAATGGGAGTGCGGCAAATAATAGGTCGATTTTCTAGCTGTTAAATTTGGTAGCAGATATGGACGTTTGTTAATGCATGGCACTCTCGAATTTACCAACTTCAATATATTGAAAGTTGTCATTACATACCTCTTGAATAGTGTGGATTTGCCTGTATGTTGCAAGAAAATAGAACATAAAATACATTCCATCCAATTCCTCATCTTCCTTTACATCATAATAGTAATTATTTATTAATTTGTGGGTTAATGAATTTCTTCAAAGCAATAAAAACATTGTCCTTTCCATCCTAAAACACAGATACTATGTGTAAGACGTGTCAATCCCTACATTTGCGTGATGCATAATGCAACTACAATGGACATAGACAAAAAAATATGAAAAATGTCTCACAAATAATGTCTTTTAAGTCCAGAAATCATAAAAACTATTAAAATTTCCTTTTGATTTCCTTCTTCACTGGTGGGGTTATCTATCTGTCACTCGCAGGATTGCCGCATCTAACGACGATCACGTCCCGTGGTGACGGGTGCGACATGAATCTTTTACATTTGCTGCTTTTGAATTTAAAGTAGGAATACAAACATTGTACTTATGATAGTTGGAGCTAGACTGATAACACTTCCTGAAGAATATTTGAAAAATGTGAACACCGTCATGGTCTGTTGTCAAATTGCAAATGAAGTATCTGAAAATTCTTACATATAGTGGACCTTCGTCATAGTTTACTATCCTGATTATGATCATTTTTAGCAGATATGTTGTATCATCAAGTTGATGAACAAATATAAGAAAGCTCTTATATACCTACATATAGAGGATTTTTCATGTAAATTTACTAGGTATCATAATTATAACCATCTTTGATGGATTGTTCGATCCGGAATGGGAAAGATCTCCTATTTATGAAAATATTTTTGGTATCATCTAACCGTTCCAATCAGTGCATAAAAACTGTGATATATGATTTATAGCATAACCCGCTGCCCTATCAATACAAATTTAACATACAGGTCGCCTAGTCGTGGGGATGCAGTGGTCGGGATGAATATCACGGCAGCAACTGATGATTTGGGCATGTCTGGTAATAATGTATGAAGTGAAACTCACTAACTTCACAAATTTGAAGATTTTGTACAATTTCTTTGAAAATGTTGAAAGATATGTCTGATTTGGCAGGGTAATGTCGCAGCCAAATGGCAGTCACGCTTTCTGACACAGTCCGGATCGAAAGATGACGATACTCGTGAAATGTATTGATACTTCTAAATATAGGATCCTATCGAACATTCTGACTGTCAAGATGTATAACCCGAGGTACCGATGGAGCTATTTTGCGGCGTCATGGAAATAATTTAAAATTTTCATTTGCATTTTCAAGTGTAATTTTGGGAAAATTCCACGAATACACTTATAAAGCATAGTAGAGTATATTTCAACAGTTGGCGGAGCTCACTCTACTGGGATCAGGGGGGTGAAACGGGATATTAATGCACAATCTGGCAACCACGTCGCACCCTCACAAAATGGCCGCTGACAACCACACAACGTCGCCTTCCGGAGAAAATCACTTATCTCCCCAAAGGCAAATTTTTCAGGGGAGACAAAAAACTTTCCTGTATATTAAGTTTATGTAATAATTTATCGAAATTTATACTAATTCTTGGAAAAACTGCCACACATCGATGAAAACAAAAAAAAATGTGCTAAGTATAAAACTATGTTTCTTTAAGGAGTTACGCAATTTTTGTCCTTATGGTAGGGGATATACGTATTTTTCCAGAAAAACCTAAACTTAGGTATTATATTATGTATTTACATAGAACATAGTTTATAGTGAAAATTAATTTTCCTCGTAGGGAAGATTATCATAGAAGGTATGGTAATCTTGAAGTAGAGTTTTCTTCAAAATTTTCAGATGATCGTATTTTTCCTTTTTTATCTTCCTTCTTTCTTGATACATGTTTGGTAAGCTCTGTGTTGGTCTCGATGGTGACAGCTTAACTCTCTGATTTAGTTGATCCCAGGGGTCAGTGTGCCTCAATTTGTAGTAGATCTTTCCAGATGGGTCATACTTTAAAGCACGTATTTTAACTACTGTATCTCTACCGGGTCGAATGGATTTGTAGTAATTAAGAGTATCGGATTTCTTAAAGAAGCTTAATGTAATGTATCTTACATTGTAAGGCTTTGGATTTTGTCTCGCAATCACACAGGCATGCACATAATCAGCAGGTATATTGATTTTACGGTTCCGAATCTTCTTCTCAATGCAAGAGTGCATTGAGTCGACTTCCATTTGCGTATGCCCTTTTTCGAGATATTTTTGGATGATGGTGATCTTATGGAGCATTGCGATGTTAACCAAAGTATTCGCCAGGATAGAGTTTCGATTCTGCCCTGTACAGCCGTCACTATATAGGATTATTTCTTTTGCTCTTCCTGTAGTGAAGGAATTATAGTGTTCTCTATAAAGTCAGCCAATATAGATGAGAATTCGTTTGACGTAAGGCCACCTTCCGTCTCGTTCCATAAAAAACAGTATCCGTCTTGGGTTTTTAAGTTATACAATGTAAAATTGTGGACGATCAATTTAGTCTTATAATACATGGCGCTGACCGTCGATTTTGGACATAGGAGAACTGCTTACAAATCCATCGTAAAGACTGAAGCAGATGACTTCTTATCTTTCTCTTTTTCTTCTCTAGCTTCTTTTTCATTACCTGATGTAAATCGTATTCTTCCTCTGGAAAATTTTTTGCATCGTATGCAACACAGGTGTCACACAGGTCCTTTTTGTGAACATATATAGAGAGATTTCGTTTATTGAACTCTTTGAAAAAGATCGTTCGTGATACGGGTTCATCACCGCTGTCAGGGCAATGATGACGTTTGTAAAAGCCATACAACTGATTTGTTGAAGCCCACATCGGTCCCAAATACAGTTTGCTGCTTGATGCTCGGCAATAGTGTGATTCGACTTTCGGTAATGAATCGAAAAACTGGTTAGTGCCTCGTATCTTCCTCCATACATTTTACTCCTACTCTGTTTTCTTTTGTCATTATTTAGTCTCTTTTCATTTTCTTCCAATTTGTCACTTTTCGTCCAGTTTAATACTGTAGATTCCTTCATGCTCATAGTATTTAGGAACATTTTCTTGCAGACTCTTAATTCTTTGTTCTCGACTTTAAGGTAGTACTTTAGTGAATAGTTTCTTCGACTATTTTCATTGGCTCCCCTTCTTCTTTTTACATTTTCAATTTTCACCAAACTCTGGATATAAATTTTTCTCTCTGCCAATTCATGTGGTTCCAAAATATATTGAATATATATTCTCGGTTTTCCTGAGTCAATTTTCTACACCCTATTTTACTAGATTTAGTTGGTTATATTGTCATATTTCCATTTTCCACCAACCTTCATTTTGCCTTTATATGCTAAGCCCTTTCGCGGTTCGCCTGATTTCTAATTTTTAACCACATTGATTGGTCAAGATTATGCCGCTTAGCCCTTTTTCTCTGGAACAACTCTTCTGTTTGTTCTTCCATTCCATATGCTGCGTTCTCTTTTCTTCTTCCATCAAATCAACTCTATTTTCATTTGATGGCGACGTGTCATATGCAGCGTTCTCATTTTCCCCTTCAACCAAATTAACTTCTTCGTTGGACTGTAATGTGTCACATTGTGTGCTGCCAGACTGCCCTATGCCGTCAATTAGTGCTGGTACCGATTGGTGAAATTCCTGTATAGCTGAATCAAACAGATCATGTGTTGGTTGGGGGTAAACTACATCTCGAGGGTGGCAAATCCTGGTTCCACAATACTATTTTCTGCACAACTGATCAGATTACATATTCCATTATCTCCAACCTCATAGATTCCCTCTCTTGCCATATCTAATATTTCCTGGCTCTGCTAGACATTCTGAATGATCTGTGGACAAAAGATAATCACAATGTTGGGAATAAGGATTTTTAACCTCATAAAAGACGTGGTTATTCTATCTTGATTTTTCTGGGCAACAATCAAAACCATAGGTGGTAAGGACTTCAGTGAGGCTTCCACATCCTTTCTCAAATAATAGAATGACGATTTAAAATTAATTTGAAATATAAAAACCCTCCACGGCTGCCTTTATAAAAACACATTTGAATTAAGACATGACTATGGATCATTTTTCATCAATCTATTTACCTGGTTTCTTGATTTCTTTAATTCATATAATTCATTATGCGGCAGCCGAAATGTCAGTAAACTATTTTAGACAGCTATTGTGGTTTGATAAAAAACAAATATTAGAAACAAAATGATAATCTATGAACTTATTCTAGTGGATTGTACGCAAACTATGTATCTCCCTAAAATGACATCTGTAGAGAAATATGGAAGGTTATGGAAAACTACGTATCTCCAGTGTCATGCACAATTGCATTTATAAAGATTATGATCGAATGCTGAATATTTAAAACGCTGATATAACATATTTGTAGTACTTACCATCCACCTTGCAAAAAACAGCTCTCCAAAAGTTAATTAGACACGTAAGAATAACAAAATGTGCGGACTGACAAGTACTGACACGCAAACCGCACTATTCCTATAGGGACTGGGCGCTTACGCATTTTTCGCGGGACACTAAACAGTATCGGAGATACGTATATTGCGTTGACGAGTTTTAACGTGTAAATAATAGTTTCGGGACTTAGTATTTTGTGCACGGAGAAGTTACCTTTAGAACTAAAAGATGGCATGAAAATCTAATTTTTGGTAAAATGTGGAAGGGTGACGACAAGTCACCGTGTTGTCATTGAACAGCATGGAATTAAACCTTCTTCAGAGTATATGTTTTGTGACTGGGACCAAGGGTGACAGATCCCACACATGTGCCACTCGATGAGTCTTGAAATGCAATAATCAGCTGTATTCAAATAATGTCTAATATAATATAACCTAGAATGTGTACTCGTGAAAAAGAAAAATATGGAAAATTTGTAGTTTTTTGCAGGTTTAGGTTTGCTGGTAGCTTTAAGGCATATATTTGTGAATTTCTTATTCGCTATGAATATAGTGTGGATGTTTGTTCAGTTCCTGAACAACGAAAAATATTCAACTTTATGGATGTATGGATATCAAAAGACCTGAATGGTTTTGTAGAATACCAATCTAAGGTGCCATAATGGTTCGGAATGAACGGCAAGTAAATGAATGAATGTTTGGAAACGAGCAATATCTATGAACTTTTTGGTAGAGCCTGTCATCAAGTAAGTGCTTAGTGGCTATCTGCAAGAAGTTTATTGGAGAAAAAATACGGGAGGTGATGTTAAATCAGTAAAATTGCATATCAATTGAAGAAAATAACATAAACATGAATAAAAAGTCAACAATGGTAATTAAACATGAATTTCATTCAAAAATCAAACATTTCTTTAAATTATGACTGAATTATATGTAAGTTCTTAATACTCAATAAGCTGGTGATGTTTCATACAAGATGTCATCTCATACTTTGACAGTATTTTGTTTTCAACATTTCTAGTTATTGGTTCCTAAAATTTGTTGATTGGAACTTTAAGCACATTCGTTGTATTTAACGGACTGTTACCCTATAGGTGGAGAATAACGGACTGTTGATTTGACAACTGGGTGAAACCCACCCTAAATAATTTTATTGAGACATTACAAGTACAATCAATTTATAAACTAATGAGACTCTCAGTGGCACCTTCGTTACCTAAGCATTGGTTGATCCAAGCAACAGAATACTCATTTTTCTGTTCCAAAGATTGATCTGGCTGTTCTGTACTTGTTGAGGTGGGATGGTTGTTGAGGCAAGGCTGACACGATGGATTATTCTCCAAGGTTGTTCGACGTGCACACGATAGCAGTTATGATTCTGAGGCATGTATTGATAATAATTCGTATCTAGTTGGAGACGTTGATACGAACTATACTGGTTACACCAAACGTTATCTTCCCTCTGGTTTCTCGGTAGCATCGGTGACATGCACGTTTCATGACCAGCCTGCCTCATTGTCACCAAATGGTGTTTAGGTCTTATCGATTGGATTCCTGGTGTGGTAGTTGGACTAGCAGCGGATGAAGCGAATTTCAGAGTAGGAGATGACACTCTTTGTTTCTCTTCCTTTTATACTTCATCCTCCGGTTTTGGAACCAGATTTTGATTTGGCGTTCCGTGAGACTTAATTCCTGTGCCATTAGGATGCGTCGGCGTCGGCACAAATACTTCTCAGTGTGGAATTGTTTCTCCAATTGTGTAAGCTGGTGTGCGGTATACGCGGTTCTGGTTCGCTTCGCCTTGGAGGTTCCGCTTGAATTTGGCCGTGGTCTGCTCGAAGCTGATGTTGAACTATTTTCTGTACCTGGAACGAAACAAAATGACACTTAGTTTGTCTAGCCATCAGTGATTATCAGTTTTTATTCCAGGTAATATTGAAGGAATCAAACCTCGTTGGCAAATAAATGTTCATTCATTTGGAACAATGTGCTCTTTGGCGCTCTGGGATAACTGTACCATGAAAATTCTAGCCACTTGCCGCCAGTTTGTTCACGTAATCTCAGCAACCAATGTACTGAATTTTCTATGGGCCAACACGTTACAAAGTTTTGGAAGATCAGTCGCTCAGGAACTTTTTTAGAAACGATTAATAAAAAATGGAGATTTTAGGAAAGGAAATTTATTAAATTCGTCTACGTTATGGGTGAATCTACCCACGTGATGGCAATGTGTATCTTCATATTCAACTATCACATTTCTTATGCAGATATGTATATTTCTGTGAATTTTGAATTTGTGTATATAGTTTTTCGTGGGTTACTGAACATAGTATTTAAAATAAAAGTTGATACTGGCTATCACTATAGTGCTGACTTGCCTGTCGATCTTTTACCCTGGCTGCCTGTGCATTCATGGGGAATGCGGACACTCAGGAGCGGTTTCTCCTCGAAAGCAACTTTGGGCTCTTCTGATGACAATGCCAAAGGTGATTGCTGGTCGATTGGCCGTTGTAGATCCAGATACTGGAACAAAGAAATATTGTTATTTTAAAGTAGGCCTATACTTTTGCGCTGAAGCGACAAAACGATTGTATAGTTGGTATGAACGAGTATCCTGCAGAAAATGATGCCATGGTACCAAAAAGTATAAAAACGATACATCTTCATGTGAAGAACTTGTAAAGGAAAATGAAGTTTTTGTTTTTTTTTATATTTCTTGAGTATACAGGTATACCAAGGGAAGCAAGCACTGAATTGACCACTTTTATTTTCTATGTTCAGAATTTGAAATTCTATTGAGAAATTATTGTTTTGATACCCGTTGTTATTTGCAAAAGCTATACAGGGTGACTTCTAAGTTGAGTAATTTATTTTAACAGTGAGTAGATCTGATCAAAAGAAATGTTTTTTTCCTTTACCATTTTTCTGGTAAAATTAAAGTAACAAAGTTATAGCCCTTTGGAAGTTTGAGTACCGCCCTGTCTCAATAATAATATTATGTGCTCGTGTTTGGCGACAACGGATATAATTCGCCTTATCGGTTCATCGCATCGGAAACAAAAAAGCGAAAGAATTTGGAATGATGTTTTTACAATTATTTCATTCAGTTGTATACAGTCAGTGTCAGTCGGTAGTGGATAGTGGTGTCTGTTACGTGGCTCAAACGAAATAAAAAATGGCACATGTTTATGCGGATCGGTTTCCCAATCGAGTGCAACCAACCCCTCGTGCCTTTGTTAATGTAGTACAACGGGTTCGTGAATCATTTGACTTAAGATCTCACATATGGACGGCATGCCGGTGCTCCAAGACCTCACGATCAAATACAGGTCCGCACTGAAATACTTGTCGGGAGGATACTTTATAAAACAAGGTAAATTTTTTTTTTAATTTTTTTTTATTTTTACACACATATTTTGGTTTATCTTCCTTCTACAATCATTATTTGAAAATTAATGACTCAACTTCAAAGTCACCCTGTATAACAGCAGGTAAGATTTAATCCAACAACAGCTCAAATATCCTACTTTCACGTAACGGCAATTTACAAATATAAGATGCTCATTATTTGTCTAGATCTTGTGAAAGCTAAAAAGGGTAAAAAAACCTTTGAAGTAACATATCACTATCGCAATAAGAAAACTCAAGGTTTTCGGTTCGATGCGATAAATGTATATTACTAGTTAAAATGCCTAACTTATTTTGTTTCTCTTCCTGACAGTGGTAACAGGTTTTGAATATGACATGTGATTTTGCTTATGAATAAAACTAGAGTAAATTTTCCATCTACTCACCACAAAGTTGTTTTCATAAAGGTTTAATTCCGTTGGAGAACTGTAGTTCTCATCTTCGTACTCTGTAGGATCTGTCTGCAACATGTCGGTGTAAGTTCCTGCACTCTCAAGGGTCTCACTGTAGTCGGACATTTGGCCAGTCGAAGATGGACCGTAATGAGCTAAACTTTACTAATGACCGATATTTAGTGAAAAGTGAGACAACTCCTCCCTTGTTATCAGTACCTAGAGTGGCCCATTGAATGGTTGATCTGCCCACCCCTTCCTTATTTTGGCAAGGTAAACACCAATCCCTTAGGAAGCAAACTGTTATGATCTCCACAGGCTAGTGCACGATGAGGGTATTTGTACAGTTCTGGCGTAATGCACAACAGAATTGGTAAAAAGTAATAAGTTGTCGCATGCTAGTATTTTTCAGCTGGTTTATCGCTTGCTGTCAGAAAGCTCTTAAGATTGATTTAAAATAGTTCACTGGCTTTTGTTGTCGATGTAACGGTGAACGTACCGTAATTTCATATGCTTTCTTGGAGTACTTTTAGTACAAGTTATACATTATTGTGTACACAGATTGCGCCAAAATTTAATGTGAATACAGTACAGGGTGGCGCAAAATAAACTTTATGGCTAATTAATTAAATTAAAAAAATACATTTACCAAAATAAGCTTTTGCTTAGCTGTTAGAACTATCTAAACCTTTGTAAATACTTTTAAACCTATAAACAATAGTGAAGCTCATTCGCGTCAAGCTTTCAAACAAAACCATACTATGTTTACCATAGAGAGGAAAAAGGATGAAACACGTTTACGTGAAAATCTGAAATGAAGGAACTTTACTATTGTTTAAAGGTTTATAAGTATAGTATCGCATATTTCCATTCGGAAATGATTATTGCAGAATTATTTGTTCGGCTTAACGAACGGTTTTACCAAAGTGATAGGGCTTTAAGAAAATACTTATAATACCTGTGGAATCATCCATCTTTATTATGTTTGTAAGAAGTACTATATCTTCAAATCGTCTAGCACCGCAGTTACATTCACTTTAAAAAAAGGAACAATACTAAACATAGAAGTCTAATGACAGAACTTAAAAAATTGACTTATGCCAAGTGCACTTTGATCTTTACTACTGACTATAAAAATTAGGATACAAACAAATCCTTGACTGGCTCCTTCTACCTAGTCTAAATTCGTTGGGTTTAACAGATAAATAAAACATTGTTTTTAAAAATACATTTTCTCATTATATTTATTTTTTACTATTTAGTAGCTATAAGGAATAGCTTTTTATATCGGCCTCGTCTCAGCATGAGTGTGTGAATTTACACCGCTTATTTCAAGCTGGACCCTAATTGCTCCTAGGGAAACCTGGTCCCAGTTCGATCGAATGAAACGGATTAATCATGGAGGCACTTAATATATTTTGTATTTTCACGCGAATCAAACATGTATGTAAAATTTCAGCTTAATTTTTTAAGGTTAACTGGTTCAAAATTCAGTTTCAAGATATGTCCCTCACTTTCTGACATACCAACAGACGTACCAACAAACAAAGCAAGCTAGATAAAATCTTGTTAGAAAATTCTCAAATACATCTGCTTTCCAAAATTTGCTTTTACTATTATCATAAGTTAGTAGAGAATGTTTGAGGAATCAGATGCGATGTGATCCAAAACGAAGCAATTGATAAAAGTAATCGTACGTTGCTCTTAAAGTCTAGAGTTGTTGTTTTACCTCGGGCATATCGTCGGTACTTTGATTGAAGGGATACTGATTACCAAGAAAATACATGTTATTCTAAATTTCCGATAACAAAATACAGTTTTGGACCTATGTACTACTGGAAGACGATGCACTGTACTAACAAGTGGAATTATCGAACGTTTATTGGTTTGTTCGTACAGCCTGTTTGCTGACAATCAGAAAATTGACAGTCGGCGACAAGTCGTGACCTAGTTTATTCAGTTAGCTGTCACTGACACATCACTGACTGTATACGTATAGATTGCGTATACGAGAACGTTACGAGTTGGCTGAGGGAGCCTTGACCTATTACCGACAACTGATCCACTGTTCGTACAGAAACTTCTGACTGTTTGATGATTGTCAAATTAGTCCGCAGATTATTGTCCAGTACACTGTCAGAGCTCGAAATCAAATAGAATCATTATTCGAATGTAACATTTTTCAGCACGAGATAGACAATTTTGGAAAAGTTCTGGTATTTTCATTTTCTGCAAACTAGAATGATCTAGGATTGCTCGGAAGTGCCTGAACCTTCCTCTAGAGTGAATAACACTTCCTAAAAAAACAACAACACCCAAAAATGTCAAGTAGATTTACTCAGTAATTCCTATTCAATTCTGATTTAAAAAGTATGGAGATAAATTCGGAGGAATGTGATTCCATAGATCGAATGACAAGTTGATGGAGTAAAAAGTAAGAATTCTGAATAAACGTTTTTGTTTCATGTTCCCTAACAGTTGTCGCCCAGCCTTGAAGTGTACGCACAAACAGTATGTATATTCTAGCTCCAGTCGAACCCAGAGCTGATCGAAAAAAAGCAAAATGGCTAATTATGAAGATTTTGTGATACATTTTTTACAAAAACTCATAAGACAAAAAGTATAAGTCAAGTCGCGTTTTCACTCTGGAGACATACAACAAGCAGAAACATGGATAAAATAAATATTTGAGATGGCAATGTCGATCAACACGACAACTAGCAACACAGGTAGGAACTAACTAATCGTGTATTTTCGCATTTTGTAACTGTAACCAAAACTTTTTGTAAAAATTAGTGTTCACTAAAAATACTATTAATTATTGTTGTTCTTGAAAGTTTTCTCCTCTAATGTTCTAATCTAGGTATCGTACTTCTGCTATTACACGGCCAATAAACAAAATATTGAGCACGAATCACTTTGATAGCTTAAACTGATTTGAGATTGCATCAAATATGGATACATATATTTTGAAACGCGTATTGAAAACAGATAATTCTATATTAGACCTTATAGTCATACAAAAAACTTAAAGAGAGACAACTAATAGCCAAATATATGTATAATTAACTTCACAGCGCAACAATTCAGTTCTTCTTTTAAGTGCCATCACTATTCTCTCCCAAATTACTTAGCTTTGATGGAGAATTTTAGAGGTAATTATTATTATCATCATCTTCTGTGTGCTCAGCTGCAAAATTATCACGATCGTATGAAATGCACTGTCTATCTAATGCTTCTTAACGTGGTAGAGTTACCTACATTTTTTGCTTTACACGGCCATTGCAGTGCTCTACTAGAATGCAATGTGAAGAATGTTTTCTGTTATAGTTCAGTTGTCTGGATGATAACTGGCCAAGGTCTTGGAATGGAATTCAAAGATTGGGTAACAAGAGCTATGCGAGTATGTGATTGGTACCACAATTCTGCTCCAGTCTTTGAAAAAAATGGTGACGTTTTAA